AATGCATAGTGACCCTATGTATGAAGGAAACACTGCCTGGTCCTGCACCATTCTCACAGTGGTTGTTATATTTGAACCCATTGTTCCAGCCTTGGTGTCACTCCATCTCACTGAAGGTGTTCCTCTTTTCTCAAAGCATGATTTCTTTTTCCAGGGACTGGTCTCCTCCCCTATTCTGCAGAGGGAATTCATTCTATAAGCCCCAGGGGTTGACTGAAACCATGGATAGTGCTCAATCCTCTTTATATTGGGCTTTTTCCCCTACATATACATACTGATCATAAAGTTTGATTTATAAATTAGGCATGGTAAGAGATTATCTGCGGGAAACAGAAAGATTTCTCCCAAGCTGTCTCCACCAAATATATGCCAACTTTAGCTGCTTGCTACACTTGGCGAATGACTATACACTTGGAGGTCAACAGAAGTAGGTCAGGGGTTATTCTTCCTAAGGGTTATCAGCTATCCAGAGCACGCAGTCACCACAGTTGATCCACAAGTAGGGCCCACTCCTTCTGATAAGGATAGTAGTAGATTGTTTCTCTGAAGGAGAACCCAGAGCGGTCAAGCCCACCCAAGGGTGACCAAGGTTAGGCTGCCAAATTGAATCTAGGGTCCACCCATCTTGTCACATGTATACCCCTAGTCCCTTCCCTTCCTATCATGTGTACACCCTTAGCTCACCCCCTTCCTGTTATGCTTTTGTATATCCCCCTCCTATTGTTTGTATTGCCTATTGTACAGCCCCTTCCTGTGACGTGTGGTTACTTAATCATGCCCCCCTAAGTAGATATAACCCTTGGTTAGCAATAAATGGGGTGTTCAGTCTCCTGCCAGCTCTCCACCACCTCATCTGGGCCCATGCTGTGCATGGACCTGCCTGGTAAGATCATGGCCATCCAGGAGGTGAGCATGCTACTATAAAATGTGTCTGCTCAGAAGTAACAAAGCCCACATGGAAGAAGCACACTGGCCTGTGCAATCATAAGGTGTTGAAGGGATCAGGTATCAGGCATCATCAGAACAAAA